ACTTTCAGAATGAAATTGTCATGGTCCAAGAAACAATGATCGGAGGCTCTTTGGCTAATGGATAGCACATAACTACAAACGTATTAGTTGTCTTGTTAATTATATGACGTTCGCTTTGTATGTGACTGGTAGGCTGTTCAAATCCCGGTGGTGGTTGAAATTATATTTTCATATTTGTTTTTTCAGAAGGAAAAGATGCGTGGAAATTTTATGCAGGGGGAATTATGATGTGGAGATATACACTCTCGGAGTGTGCTCTATTTAGGCCCTATTTAATATTATTAATTTAGTAACACTGGTAGAAAAATTACAGTAACCCATGAAGACACATTTGAGCCAAAAAAATATCTGCTTGCAAGGGTACCTCTATTTAGGGGACACTGAGATGCTGCTACTGAAGCTGATAACGATGCCGAGGATGGTCCCAATGATGATGATGCTGCTGTTGAAGATGATGATGATAATGAAGACGATGATGACGCATATCGATGATGATGCCTAGGATGGTGATGCAGCGCTGTTGGAAATGATGATGCTGATGATTATGATGCTAACTGAAAGAGTACCGTAGCATATCTAGTGATGCACGCCCCTTCCCCCACCCGCAAAAAAAAAAATATAAAAGGAATACACTATCAATTTTGATGTGAAAAATGTGTGATTTGCCCTTATATGAGTATGATATCATATTACCACCAAATATGGGCATATCACATTGATTTGTCACATAAAATTTGACAGAGTGGACATAAGATGTTCTCCTTTTGGTCCTGTGTATCAAGAGTTTTCTAAAAACATCACACTTGGCCACAGTTTGACAATTACAACTCGATTTTCCAGACGGCAAAATGGGCGGGGACAGGAAGGGCTAAGTACCACTCAGAGGAGGTCTAAAGAGCGAACCACCTGGAAACTCCAACGATTAGGAATTTGAAAGCTTATTAATCAATTATAGAGGTCCCCAAGGAGGATTGAAGAGGAGTTTTCGCATGTTAAAGACACCCATGCGCATCAATTGATACCAAAAAAGCTTCAACAATTATTTTTCCCGGTACATCAATAAAGCGACGAGACTAAACTTTAGTCAGTCTAGCGGTGTCCAGGAAAGAGTACACGAATGTACAAAAATAGCACAACTTTTCTTTAAACATTTAAACATAAAAAATACCATGTACCGGTATTTTCCGTGAAAGTGTTTGCATCTCACATGTGTGGACTTAACGTGTTGTTTACAACTGAATTGCGATTTCCGTTCCACCACGGCAGCTGGTCTGCGAGAAAGTAGTTCAAACTTAACTAAGAATAGATGGCGCTCTTTTGATTTACTTCAACCACTGGCTTCCAGAGTAAATTATTTGCAAGACCAAGAGAAAATAATATACTGTACTGTACTTTATTTGTGTTTGTTAGTAATCACCTGTTACAATGGTTTACATACTTCAGATGATTTCTGACATTGAATAGAAGGTTTTGTTTTCCTTTGGTTACAATCTTAAGTGGGGTGTGGGGACCGTTAAGTATTTCTTGATATTCCTCATTTTATTCCGATGAAATAGGTACTTGCCAACTGTTTTATGATGATTTTGAAATAATTTCAATAAAGATAATTAAGAAATAATTGGAGGTCTTCGTTTTTCGGTCTTCGTTTTGTAGACACCCATATAGGGAGTCTATAAAACGAAGACCCTTGAAAATTTCAGAAACAGACGCCCAAAAAATGACGTAATTTTGATTTTGTGACAGCCTGGTGTATTATCATCAAAATAAAAGAGAAAAAATAGGGGTCTTCGTTTTTGGGTCTTCGATCTTGTTTTATAGACACCCGCGGCTCTCAATGGCTGAATCGAACACAGATACAAATGTATAAGTTGTGTAAGTTAGTTATCATGTTCGCTTTGTATGCGACAGGCGCGGTTTAAATCCCAGTGTGGAGTTCAGATATATATTTATTTCCAAACAGGGGGAATTACGTGGGCAGATATTCACTCTCCGAGTGTGCTCCAGTTATCAGTGTGGCGCCAGAGGGGGGGGGGGGGGGAAGCTGGGGAAATAGCCCCCCCCCCCCACCGTCGGGGAAGACAAGTAAATATTGTCGGGGAACAAACAAATAAAAAAATATTTACATGTAATGTTCGTTTAGCCACCATATTGTTTTCATTAAACTATTTGTGTTAACTTTTCATCACAACAATAATAATAATAACAATAATAATAATAATAATTCAACGAGTCTAATTAAAAATAAATTGCGTTCTGTTATGACAAATGCTCGTTTGGATAGCCTCGTGATGCTTGGAATACATCGTGATAACCTCGACTATGACAGCGTGGTTCACAGATTTCATTCAAAATTTCCAAAAAATAGAATTTCACTTTCAAGAATGCGGATTTGAAAATAAATTAGATGGTTACATTGCATACTCTTTGTTTCTTTCGTTATCTTAAACAATCATAAAATTTAAATGGTTTAGATAAAACCTCCTTTCTACTAAGATGTGTATAAGAGACAGATCACTGCTAGTTATTATTAAAATATTATTTTAATGTTTAAAATTACATTGGTAGAAAATTTACAGTACAACCCATTTAGAGTAGGCCTACTACCAAAATATATTCTGTTTGGGGATGCTATGATTATGAAGATGACACATATGCTGATGCTGATGATGCCAATGCTGATGATAATACCGCTGTTGAAAATAATGATGGTGATAATGATACTGCTACTGTTAAAGATGATACTGATGTTGAAAATGATGATGCTGCTGCTGCTGTTAAAGATGATGCTGCTGATGATCGACGCTGCTGTTGAAGATGACGATCATGCTGATGATGCATGTGCTGATGGTGAGGATGGTCCCAACAATGGTGATGCTGTTAATGATGACAATGCTGCTTATGGTGTTGCTGTTGTTGAAGATGATGATGCTGATGATGAAGATAATGATGCTGTCGCTGAAAATGATAATGCTGATGAAGATAATGATGTTGATGATACCGCTGTTGATAATGATGATGCTGCTGATAATGATGTTGCTGCTGTTTAAGATGCCATGCTGCTGCTATTGAAGATGACGATGATGCTGATGATGCAAAGTTAAGAAATGTGTACAATTATCTGCATCTGTTACAATTATAATGTTATCTTAATTAAACGAATTCAACAACAGATTTATTAACAAGCAATATCAGCAACACACCGAATTGGAGCTTGTTTTACAGAGCATATACATTTAAAGATGTAAAAATACATAATTTGATTTGTTTTTATTTATTTTCCTCATTTGAACAGTATACAGTAAAAGTGTTTAAAAATTATAAAAACATTCTAAAAATTAAAAAGAAAAAAAGATATTTAGAATTATTGATTTTTTTTTCAAACAAAAATAAAACCAATAAAGTAAATGAAATGCAATTCCAGTCACAAAAATAATACACAGACATTTTTAAAGACTTCTCTAATTACATTTAACAATTAAGAAAGTTGAAATTAGCTCAAGTCAGCTTAATTTACAAAATTACATAGCATTTAAAAAAATGAATTAATTAGTAATAACAATTACTATATTAGTATTGCTTAAAGGTTTGCATGGCGAAGAATAATATATATGTTAAGCTTGCGGTACACCACGTAAGTAGTTCTGAAAAGAACTGTTGTTGTTGAGAAAGTCTTGACGTTTCGATTGAGATGCTTCAAACGTCTTCAGGAGAATATATCTGCAGACACTCTAAACAGGGAAATACTTATATGTTTGGGTAGAGAGGCTGGATGGTGGTAAACTGACCAATTAATTACTATTATATATATGTGAATTACTATATTCACATATTAAAAAACCGAGTTAATTATAACCAACAATTATTATATTCACAGACAGAATATAAAAAATACATTGTGAAAAACAATATCAAATTACTTTTTGTTTCAATTGTTTTAAGCAATACAAATTTTAATAGATTATCAAAATCAAAGGTGGTCCAACATCATGTACATCTGTATGGAACAACACCATTAAAAAGAAGGCGCGGGTTCCTAATAAAGCCCACTGAGACGCCAACAGTGGTTGAAAGCTTAAAAGTCGTCCAGTTTTTAAAGTTTAAAGAATGATATATACAGTACTCTAATTATGTACATTATTGGGGAAACATTCAAACATATGGCCAGCATTTTATCAGATGTTAAAGGTGGCCTAACATACCAAGGAGAAAACTATTTCCACATCTTGTTTTCATTAATGATTAGTCACCCCAGACAAGGCCAAAGGCCATTCAATTGTGACACTCGGAATCAATCATAACACAAAGACTCATTGACGGTGTCCGGTTTTTTTTTCTATTACAGAAGGTGCATTACGAAAAGAATAACCCTGTATGATAAAATATATAAATCTCATGTTAAGCAAAGATGTATGCAACAATCAAAATGCTAAACATTTCTTAAGTTAATCTATATAGCATCATATAAAATTGGTCAATCATACTAATGAAATACCTTATGATAATAAAACTATTCTTATCAAGATGATTAACTCAATTATCATACCCAATTATTGTATTCAGCCATCACTACAGTAATGTCGTATAAAATAATCAGTACCGAATTACTCTATTGATATAACTATCTAATTCATGAACACCTTCATTTAGTTATTAGTGTTAATTAAAAAGTAAAAGTATAAAAAAAGCAAAGATAGTACAATTAAAAGTCAATAATTTTGACCTTCATATCAAGCCTATGTTACTAATGCTGTACAGTAGATAGCAATTCAATGCATATCACATCGTCTTTCTGACCACCCTCTGTTCTCTTGCCTTTTTTTTAATTCATTTGAATTGGTTCTTTTTTATTTTAGTTAAGTTTCTGTATATTTTTTTTAATGTTTGTTTTTGTTCTACTTTTTTGTTCATGTGATCCACTAGTGAGATCAGTGCTGCGTCACTGAAAGTGTTATCACGTTAAAGGCAGAATAAATAAATAAATAAATAAACAGCAGCACAAGTCAAGGTCATTCACCCATAGAACTTCATTACTAGGCTTCAGCATCTTAAACACTAACTACAACTTAACATTCGACTAAAAGATATTAATCAAGTATACTAAATGATTATATAATTAATATGTATTCACTCATTTAAGACAATAGCATTAATGTATATAAGATTCTAATGTCAGAGTTAAAGGTATAACAAATATATATTGTATGAATGCATTACTTATAATACCATGGCTTATAATAACATAACATCAGTTATAATAATCGTTATCTTAAACAATCATAACATTTAAATGGTTTAGATAAAACCACCTTTCTACTATCAGAGACTAAAACATGTGCACAACCTCTCTGAATACCTAAATTAGCACAAAAGTTAATTACTTCACAAGTAGTGATAATTATAACCAACTTATACTAATTCAACATCTTTAACCATGATTTAAAATAATAACATCTATAAAAATATTAATTAATACAATATATAAAAAATATAATTCACTCACCCCAGCTAGAGTAATACAAAAGCTGTTAAACTAGGTAATGAATATTGTGTGCTCTTGTCTTCACGAGATTATCTTGGTAACTGTGCTCATATGATGTGAGACAAAGGAACATGGGTTATCCCATTGTGACAAGATACACATGTCACACAATGTATGGGTTGAAAATTAATGAAAAGAAATATATACTGTAGTCCACAAGGCCAAGTAATTTGTACTGGTTGCACTGCCCATACCTTCGCCTCTGACAATGGGGAAATGTGTCCTTATAATCTAAAAACACAAAATCAATTCTGGGGGTTTAGGGTTGTCAAGGGGAGTATATCAGGTATAGGTTAGGTGATAGAGCTATGTGACACATGAGTGAGAGGAAAAAAAACCATGTAGACATGTGGATTTGTTGAATAGAGATATCATTTAGGGCTTTTCCAACAGATTCAGAAAGCACAGGAATGGGCACTTTGAAAGGAAGAGTATGTATCAGTAACTGACCTTAAAAAAACATGGGGTTAAGACTGATTATGTTCTTTCACAAACTGCATGAAGGCCTTACGAATTGAGGAGCTAGTGAATGAATTATTACATAGGAAAAATAAGTGCATATGTCAGGTCATTAGATGTTAACCATGATTTTGTTATAGTGACAATATCCACATTTGTTTTGTAAATGACCTTAGAAATGCCTCAACCTGCCCTGTACCACTGTAACTGATACAGGTCTATACACTCTTCACAGTTACTCATGCATGGTATGTGAGGTAGTCATCAACAAGGAGCCTGGTGGGTTTCTTTTCCTCATCACCTGAAGCAGAAGTGCCATAATGAGGAATTGGTTCTATGTACCCTCCATCATCATTGTCTACCGCTTGCATTATTGGTTCAATGTATCCTCCATCATCATTGTCTTCTGCCGACATTACTGGTTCAATGTATCCTCCATCATCATTGTCTTCTGCCGACATTACTGGTTCTATGTACCCTCCATCATCATTGTCTTCTGCCGACATTACTGGTTCGATGTACCCTCCATTATCATTGTCTGCCACTGATGTTATTGTTTGTAAGTATCCTCCATCTTCACTGTCTGCTACTTGCATTATTGTTTCTCCAACTCTGTCAATTTCTGCCATCTCAGATGTACCATTTCTAGGAGGTAAGCACTCCTTAATCTCCTCATAATGTGGATCATATATTTCAGAGTATGGTCCTGATATAATTTGTGCCATTCTCAGTCCATCATTACCCCCTGCAGTCTGAGATCTGCATAATAAAGTAAAGGCATTCAATGTATTTTTTCATAATATAACATACAGTGGATACTTTATCAAATAAATTCAAATCAAATCTTTTTCAATACAATTGCACTGGTATTTCAAGAGCCTCAGTATTCACAAAATCAAATCAAATTCAAAAAATATGTTAAAGTTATGAAAAATCATTTGAGCCACCCTCACATGAAAAAAGAAATATTTATAGAAAAGTCTAGAGACCATCACAAAATAGTCCCTTACTTGAGCCGGCGTCACCACCTTAGCTGTGCATGGTAGTAGATCCGAGGCTTATCCAAGGTGGAAGCTACCGGAGCCCAGCATACTGTCGCCGGAGTACCTGCGTGTACGCGGTAGTGGTGGTGACGCCGTCTCAACAACAGGAGTGCGCATTTTTCATGTTGCTGCTTGGTTTTTTCCATTCTTGGTCTGCCTGTTTTTGAAGGGTTAATTTATCAATTATTTATTTATTTATTTATTTTCTATTTGTTTATTTATTTACTTTATTCATTTATTTATATTTATTTAACTTATAATAAATAAAATTTAAAAAAAATATTCTGATTAATATAGGCTCTTTAATATAAGATATAATATAATTTAATTTTTTTAAATTCTTGGACCTTTTTTCGGCGCCTTGAGATGATTTTATTGTGGAAGGCGGACTACAAATATCCCACCATTATCATTACCATTACCATATATATCTTAAATATTTATTCAGTCAAAAGTTAATGTATGTTTTATATGTTTTATATAATTCTAATTTAATATTTTATATTGCTGACTTGGTAGCACTACTGTATGAAACCAATCCAATTTGAATATTATTTACTATAATTTCTATGGTCACAGTAATCCATGTTGATTATAGTTGCCAAGAGTGCTCAACTTAAAAGGAGCGTATAGGGGCGGATCCAGAGATGTCCGTAGGGGTAAAAGGGGGGCCGAAAGTCGAAAGTGGGGGCCGATCAAGAAAACGCTACCCTAGGGCATCCTCAAAATTTTGTTTTCTAGACACCCCAAAAAAACCTCTGAGGCATTTTGGCGATCAATTATTTTTTCCCTTTCTTTTCTTACTTTCCAAAAAGGGGACCTGGACCAGGCTGCCCCGCCGCCTCCTAAATCCGCCCCTGACAAATATCCCCAGCAGAGTGCTCAATGAGAGACCAGAGCGAATACAAATAAATAAAAAGTAAGGTTCAACAATAGCTTTGATTTGACATTTTATTCCTTAATTTTGTACCACACAAATGGAAGAAACCCCACAGCTTGCACACTCTGACTGTTTTAGTGCCATTATTTGCTGGGTTATCTGACATTATGCTACCAATATATTTGAACACAAGTATGACTAATATTAAACTTAAACATGGACACAGTAAAGACATCAGTGACTAGAAGTGTGAGAAGTACGATGCTAGCACAAAGCATTCTTGCTTATTCAATGGATCCAATTTGTATGCCTTTTATCTATAAGAATTTAATTTCAGTGACTTGTACTGTTGCCCATTAAAATGTAGGCCTATTTTCCATAGTACTGTACCTGCTGTAAAGATACCCCTTCAAGTGTTTTTTTTGTTTTTTTTTTGGTTTGCCAGTGTTCTAGAGTTTGTCGACCTCATCAGAAACCTACAGTTAAACTTGGCTTTCTCCACACCCTGCTATAGCCACTGCATTTTGAGTGTTTGGAATTTGTAGGCTATATTTTTAATGATTCAGAAAACTGAACACATTTTTTAGATTCCGCAACTGAACATAGAATCAAATTTAAAGGAAATAAATATTTTAATTCCTTTAAAACAAAAGCAAAAACCATTTGCAGTTTTGCCCTTAGCTTTTAGAGGTTTGTGGATTTGATGACCCACTAATTATGGAGAATACTGTTTAGGTATGAATTTTGGTTTTTGTTTAAAGGTTTGCATGGCGAAGTAATAATATATATGTTGAAACTTGCGGTATACCACATAAGTAGTTCTGAAAAGAACTGTTGTAGTTAAGAAAGTCTCGACGTTTCGATTGAGTTGCTTCAATCGTCTTCAGGAGAATAATATCTTTTGGTTTTAATACCCTCTTATTATGCCATTTTAGAAACCACTTATTTATTCTTTTGACTGGTACATTTTCAAAACCAAAATTTATGGTCTCCCAAATGGTCCAGTTATTATTTAACAACCTGGAACAATAGAAACTTCATTAATATTAACATAATTATAATAGAAAAATCATTAGAAGAAAATAACAAAAACAAAAGGCATATAAACAGCTAGGGGTGCATTTAATTAACATAATTATAATAGAAAAATCATTAGAAGAAAATAACAAAAACAAAAGGCATATAAACAGCTAGGGGTGCATTTAGGTTGAATATATTTTCAATGATCGCAACCACAGACAATATATATGATGGTCCATAGCCTTGTAGACATTTATAAATCATTATCAATAACTAATTTCTCTGTCTTCATTGAGTTTAATCCAATTAAGTATATTCATTACTTCATTTATGAGAGTCATTTTATTAACAGAGATAACCCTGGTCTCCATTTAGAGGTTTCTAATTGTAGACCAAAGCACAAAACTACCCCAGATTTTCAGATCTGAAGGTGGTCTGACATGATATCAGTTCTATGTGTGTGAGTTGCATAGCATTTGTCAAATTTGCACTAACCTGAAATCTGTAGGACTTTTACTACCTGAATGAATGCCCTGCAAAGCCTTCATCAAATAAAAAACAAAAAGTAAACTTGTAGTATACTTGAAAATGTCTGACAATCACATCACGTTTAACATTATTTTCTTTATAAAATTGTAGCACAAGCAATAAGATCATTATCACAACTTTAATGGAATTATCACCCTTAGTAGAGTCATAACCATCATCTAGATTCATTTCTTAAACTTAGATCACTGTTTATATTTTTTCACCTTCAAGCTTATCCCAGGTCAGCTTCAGAGGAAAAGCAAAATAATGGGATGCTTTTAAAATAAACAAAGTTTCATTAAGAGTCTTAGGAAGCAAATGTGTTTGTTAGTCAAGAGAAAAACCTGTACTGACAGAATTTTAAGCAGGACCAGTGATGTAAATATGTTTTTTGGAGCTACCAACATCACAATTATCATCTATTTCACCTTCGTCACCACCATCATCACCACAACACTATCACCATACTATCAACATAACATCACCAACAGTTCTTGTGTTGCCTTAAGGCTAGGTACGCCGTTGTAATGGTTGGAAAATGCTATAACCAAGTATATTCTAATATTGAAATAATTTGAAAATAAACTTTAAATTTAGCTTCAAAACATCAAATAAATTGCTTAAAAACATTCTGATCCACACGATCACATGTTGTCCGGTCAAGCAAAAATCCAGAGCCCTAGATATGGCTCAGCAAAAATCAAGAGCAAGCAAGCACGCTCTTTATGTGATACAGTCGAAGTATAACCATCGAGGAATTAATAACCATGGATTTATTAGCAAGAAGTAGACCACTTGACTTTGCTCTGCCCACTCCACTGAATGCAATTAAGCAAAGAACAAAGTTGCACAGAGCAAATTTGTTGAGCATTGAAGAATTGGTATATTTCAACTTGAATACTCACAAATTAGATAAAACTTAATAATTCTAATTAGAACAGATATCATGCAGCGCAAGCTAGTTCAATTGATAAGATAATTTATTATATTTCAACTCATTACATAATAAACTCTTGTAATTAACAAAAAATTAATGAATTAAGGATGTAGAATATTTATACAGAAGTCATTTTAGAGACCACACATAGGACACACTCATGGACCGACCCTGCCCCCACCCACCCCAACAGTTTTCTTCCTTGTTGGAACTTTGCATGACAGCATGTGTAACCTTGGGCCAGTTCAGACTAGGTGGATAAACCTGGCTTAACTCACCAGGTTTATCCACTTGCCAGTCTGAACTACAGTAGGTGGCTTATCTCAAGCTGGACTGTGTTCCTATAGTAACTGGGCCTGTCGTGCCACCGTGTTTAACTTTTCTAAGCTGGGCTTTAATCATTGCGGGGGGTCTTGCATTGACTTCGGGTAACAAAATGACCAATCAGCATTCAATTACATTTCGCGAGCAATGTTTTGACACACGTTTCATGATTATGTTTCATTATTATGCAAATTATCGCGCCTGGCTAATCCTGCTAGTCTGAATGCCCGGTAAAGTTAAGCCGGGCTTAACGTTGAGCTGGGCTTAACTCAAGCCCGGCTTATATCCAAGTCTGAACGTAACCTTTGTATTTCTCTAGACGCGACTTGGTAATGATTAGCAGGTAACCCTAGCTTGTCATAATTTTTTATGAACTTACTACCGTGTCTAAGCCTTATATAACAAATGTGAAATGTGAATAAACCCTTGGTTACATGAGCTAATGTTTTCAAATGGGCAACATGTATGTAAGACATTTTTCTTTATAAATAAGCTACAGCACCAACATCAGGATTATTAACATCGATCTATAATCTTTTAATATCCTTTTTTTTGTTTGTATCAAAAGGCTCATGCATGCAAACTTTCCTAGTGCAACTTCTCTGTGGCTTTCCTGATCTAATTAATTGCAAAGTAATGATTAAGATCTTCGATTACAGCAACCACGTATTACTAGTAGTAGTAGTAGAATGGCTTACCTAGACCAAAGAGGTATTTTTCTAGACCATCCTAGGCCTAGATCAGGTTGTAGGTAAACAGTGGGAGAGTTTGCCATACATTGTGCACTCGGTTCTCTAAATTATGACTCATATTTCAACAATGTATATACTGTACACATAGGTTGAAAATAGATGTCTGTTTTAGGACAATACCGTAAAACCTTTAAATTGAAGCCCTGGGCTTCTTTTATTGCAAACTTTGCATGGGCTTCTTTTCAAGAT